AGGGGAAAGGGAAGAAAGGAAAGGAAAAATTATGAGAAAGAAAAAAAAATGGAAACAAAATCTTTGTAAATGTGAAAGGGTGGTGGGGGTGACAGGTGCATATGTAATGGGGAAAAAAATAAGAACTAAGATACATCATGTTCAGGTACAAACACCCAATGACAAATGTAAATATATTGTATACCTAAAATGTACCAATTAATATATAAATTTTAAAAAGTTTTTTAAAAAGACTATTTTTCCTCCAGTCAGGGTGTTTGGCTCCTTTGTTGAAAATGTTGTGGCTACGTGTGTCTGTGGTTATTTCTGCATCTTCTAATCTCTTCCACCCGTCCTCAGGTCTGTTTCTTTGCCAGTGCCATGCTGTTTTTGTCATAGGAGCTTTGTAGTATAGTTTCAATTTGGAGATTGGGATACCCCCTACCTTCTCTTCGTTGACCAGAATTGCTTTTGCTATTGTAGGTCACTTCTGTTTTTTTTTAAGTTTTATTTCATCACTCTTATCAAACACACATCAGAAAGCATATCAACAGTGCATCTTATGGTAAGTCAGTTTACAACAAAACTGAACAAGGCAATTGTGTTTACAGAAAAAAGTTCTCAGCAAAAAGTACACAATACAGTCCATTGAAATGCAGTGTTCATACTTTTAGGTATATAGTAAAAGTGGAAAATAAAAGTCCTTTGCTACTCCGGAAGAAAAAACAAGTTTAAAACACTTAAATGGAAATCCGTTTAAAGATCTGAAAACAATTTCTTGATACTGACACAAATCTACATTTACAGCTCCACTTAGTTATTTAAAAAAACCCCTCACAAACAATAAGACATCACAAAGAATGTAGAACCATAGTTTCAATAAATGCCAAGGCCAATTGAAACAACGGGTAGAAATGTTATGCACAACTATTCAGTGTGTATTTTGATGTTCCTATAATTCTGTGGTGAAGGTAAACCAACAGGAGAAAATACTCCTTATAACTGGCTTTGGTTTAAGTGATCTTTCACATTTTTTTCTAACCAAACCTTCTTATCAAAAGCACAGCAATTTTATTTTGGTAAGGGAGCAGTGGGTTTTGTTTTTATATTCTACCCCTTCATTTCTGTGCTGGGAGGGGAGGCCATAAACTTAGAATTTATTGATCATAACTGGATTTCTGAAAGTGATTAAAATACAGCAAAAATAAAGCCCTTTTGGAGGGAAAAATCCCTTCTACCCCAGATTTTACACTGTTAAGAGGATATTAAGGAATGTTAAATTATTTAAGATTTTTCAAAAAAGAGTTAAGAATGAAAGAATATATCCTGCTGGAAAAGATGTGGCTTTACACTCTGCAAAGTAATACACAGAAGTGCATCTTAACTTTTTATTATAATAAATAAACCCTACTTAGTTCCATAAGGTGGAGTAATTTTGTAGCTAGTGCGTACTGATGCCATCCACTGTACCCGGTGTGGAAAGGGAAAGATGGTTAATCTCCAGTTTCTTTCTGATGCTTGATGTACATGAATGGCAATGAACACTAAATATACAAAAACTGGAATTCAAATATTTACTCTTAAAAATTAGGATAAATCAAATATGGATATTTAATATGGTTTCATAAACTCTTACAATAATTTTCTGGGAAAGAATAATGAGGAATGTGTAGGAAAGGCAATGTTTCTATGCTACAGGTACGAAGTCTGCAGCTTAAAAAAATAAACATTTTAAAATCACTAACCACAAGATTACTAATACCAGTAAGAGAGCCATTTTCTTCTCATCCTCAAATCTTTCTCCTCCTTATTCTTAAATTTATCAGTCTTATGAAAACCCATGCAAATAACAGTTATAGGCATTTTAAATAACTGAAGAGATTTTGAATCCATATATGCATGATTTTAGAATACCTCACTACATTTGCTTTTTTTGCACTCATGTCCTGATATCATGAATATTATTAAGGGGACATAACCTAGAAGAGGAACGATATTGCAACCTGGGATTTTTTAAAAAAATGGCTACAAATAATTCTCATTAACAATCAATAGCTTATGGTAGCAAGAAGCTCTGATTTTTACTATGAGGATTTCCCAAAAAGAAACAAACAAAAATGAACAATTCCAGTTTTTTCCCAGAATATGACATTGTTGGTATACAAAATAGTTTAACAAAATTAGTTCTCTTCTGCAAAACAAAAATTAATGGTCATGCAAGGCAAATAAGAATGCTTCTCTTTGCTTTTAAATTACAATACTATGAAGTTAGTTCATAAAGCATAAATGGCCTTCAACTGAGCCATCAATATTCTTCAGGTTATAGTGGCAGCTATCCAATTTAATGGGTAATAATATTCGAGCAACTGTTTGATAACTTTCTCATGAATTCCAACATTTATGGTACCAGAAGTATAACTGTCATGATTATAATTCTCTGAAAAACACAAATAAAGCAAATTTAAAATAATCCTCATAAGCAGTACAAAGAACAAAAGTGCTGAGCTATAGGAAAATGAGTGAAAACTTCATATTGGGAGAACAAAGTCTGTGTAAACAATGTATCATGTCCTGAAGATCACCCTAATGACCATCTATAAAATATAAAATTTCCTAAATGCTCTCTGGTTTATAGACTTTTTCTTTTTACAGTCATTTACCCTATAAAATTGCAGCAAAAATAATTAAAATTATTAACCTTTTCCCAAACATCCACAGTAATTGTCAACTGCACGCCACTGGAAAGCACACAAAATTTAAATAACAATGAAAAATATGAGGTGGGGGAAAGTCGCTAGAATAATAAACATGATATCCTATGCATGGTATCAGGTACAGAAGCTAAATTAAAATAAAATCAAGTATTTTAAAACTCTGGGTACTGAAAAAACTAAAAATGTCTGTGTTCCTCTGATTAACCATATAAAAACTAAATATACCACAGGAGACTAAGATGAGCTCCAAATGATGGCAATTTAACATGTACACTCATTGAGAAAGCTAGTTAGTTAAGCTAGTTAGTCAAGTTACTACGGTAACTTGAAAGACTGCCATCTCAAAATAAAGGTGATTCACTAAGCACCGTAAGAAGAAATGAAACTCTTTTGAGCTGTGACCAAGAAATGGTCTGTATGTGATTAAACTTGACAAATAAATAAATTACATTACAGTGCTAGAGTAGAAAGATGAGGAAGGAACTTGACATTAGAAATGGAACTAGATCCAAGGAAGAATTAGATTCTGCCTAATAAGTGTCTTTTCCATTACATGTAATAATGGAATAAAATCAAATATGAACAGTTTTACACATACCAAAATAAAATCACCAAGGAAATTTTGAACTTTTATATTAGGTGACTCAATCCAGAAGTTGTTCCAAGAAAAAGGCAGAGGTGCAATTAATCGTCATCTATCTGGGAAGGTTTGTCCCAAGTGAGTTTTAATATTTTCCAGGAAAAACAAGGCACTTGCTCAAATCTTCATCTACACATCCACCAGATTAAAGGTCATGATGTGATTCCATCTGCACCCTAATCTGAATAAAGCCACCTACCACATACCCTTGCATGAGAGTCTAGTATCTCTTACTGAATGTCTCCCTGACTCCCTTATCCAGTAACTGCTGTTACAATTACTACCAGTTACTATGGTACTAATTTTCATTGCATTCTTTGCCACACCACAAACTATAACTAATAGTAGAATTTATGTAAATTAATGAACTCAAAAGAGCCATGAAACAGCATTTGGTGAGTGCTCTAGTTCTTTCATTTATGCCAGAAAACTGATGCCTTTACTGGGGGAAAAGTCCAGTGTAATAAGACAGAAACAAATATTACACACATGGTTTTTTTCAACTGCCTCTATGTGGAGCACTACTGCCAGATGGTTAATGTATCTCAGCATTCTTTAGCAGTGATAGTACCAAAAAGAAGGCCATTCTTCTCTCATTTAAAACAGAAAAAAGATGGGGCCGGGGATTTAGCTCAGAGATTCTGCTGCCTGCCTTGCAAGCAGGCGAGTTCGATCCCTGATACCAAAAAAACAAACAAACAAACAAAAACCAGAAAAGGATGAGTATGACTATATGTATGGATTCTGTCCTAGAATCACCCATAATTTTGGCTCAAGGTAGCAAAAAAGGAATTACTCTGAAGATAGCTGCTGTGCTGCTGGCCAAGAACAAGGAAGACACTCAGTGGTAATAAATGCAGATCTCTTCTTCCAAGAGGACAATCTATTTCAATTTCTTTAAAACACAGCCAATACTGTACTTTCTTTTAGCTAAGTGCTATCTTTAACAAGCTGTTCTTCTCTACTGTTCTTCTTTAATGGAGCATTATAATTCCGATAATGGTTAGCTAACCACCCCCTCCAAATGTTTCCAAATTTCCTATAATCATTTTATATGTCTTCTCTGGGACAGAATACACCATGGCAATACCATGGAACAATACAGAAGAAACTGGGAAGTTGAGAGGGAAGGAAGCACGAATAATAAGGGAAAGATAAACTACCTGAGATAAAATTTGCCCCAAATGGTTGGAGTTAAGTGACATGAACCCTCACTCTGCTTCTCAAGAAAATGTCTAGTTTTTTAGTAACTTCAAGGAATCAAAATTCCTGTGCATATATTCCACGCTAAAAAAAATCACGAAAACTGCATCTTTAATAATATTTGGCTCCAGTTTAAGAAAGACATTAAGATTAAACTTCTGATAATAACAAAGGGGAAAGAACCTGCAAATGTCATCTTTGGTAGAATGGGATAAAAGCTATAAAATGACAATTTAAATCATAGTAGGCATCTTTTTTCAATTTTGTGGCTTTACTATAAAATATTTAATTCAATGCATGGTTATTCAGGCTCATCAAGTCTTCCTCAGCTCCCTTAAAATCTAGTTAGCATCTTCTGTAATAAAATACTAGTGTTACACACTACATATATGTATGAATATATCTGCAATAAGATGATGATCAAAGAAGGCTGTGAAGTGCAGCATCAATGTTAGCAGCATATTGCATGAGTAAGCTCAGAAGCCTATCTGCAGTTTATTTGCAAGGATTTCTCTCTCTTTTCCCTAGGGTTCGAGGGAAGAAGTACACGTGCTAACCTCAAATACTTCCCCTTAAAAAAAGTCATCTTTATTTTGTGTTTATCAGTAGGTATATAAGGATCTGTTATTTCTAATCACCACAAAAGCAGCTACCCATACAAATATTTAAGGAAAATTAGGTCTTCAAATTATTGGTTCTACTCTTAAATTCTGATTCAACAACCAACCAACCAATCAACCCCTAAAAGGGCCAAAATAAAAAAATAACAGTTCTTCTTTCTAAGGGCACATACTGGGGACCATGCTACAAGATCCTCTGGTAATTTATAAATCAGCCTTCTTATACCAAATCTGGCTTCATAATAAATATTAAGAGAGTCCTAAATAATTTTGATTACTATAATAACTAAAATGTCAAATAGTGATTGTTTGAATATGCAAATTCTAATCAGGCTATCAGTAACCTGCATGGCACACTCAAAGAAAGACTGTATGAGGAGGCTTCCAGCAGGAAAAGATACAAAAGACTTTTTCCTTCGAAAAAAATAATTTCATTCAGGTAAGGAAATAGGGAAAAAAATCCTAACACATATAACTTGTCTTTTTGTATAATCAGTGCTTTATAAAGGTTTCCTTACTTTTATACCTTTAAAGACAATCTACCATATGGTGAGAATTCATACTTAGAATTCTTAAAACCATGTAATCAACCTGTATCCACAAATTCATGTATACTGGCATTCTCTACTCAGAGACATATTAGATTGCTAGGAATCCTTTTAAGAATTGAGTTTTTTCTTTCTACTGCTACCTTATTATAGTTACACCTTTCTTTACTTCCACACAGTCAAAAGCTAGACCACTTGGGATGCTGTTCCTCTGGCTTTTCTTCAGCTAAGGACAGAGGCAGAGAATGGGGAAAGGGGAAAAATGTGTGAGGGAGAGGCATGACAAAAAGAAGAAAAGATGGATCCTTGATGATACTCTTTGCCTTTTTTCTTTTCCCTTCACTGTACACCTAATTTTTTTAAGTCTACTTCAATTTTGCATCATAATAGGTAGAACTACACCTTGAGAAATTTTGTAATTATCATAGAAGATTCAATACAAAAAGATGAGCCAATCCAGGGTCTAAAGTACACTGAAGAATGGGATAATTTACCTGTACCAAAACTACTTCTTTGTTTCAATCACTTGAAAAGTTTCAGTGTAACCCTGGTCTTTTCTCCAGTTTGTTCTGAGCCTCTCAGGAATGAACTGCTTTGCCATTTACATTCTATTAGACACATCAACTCTCAAAAAACATATATCTTCAATCTCACAGGTTTGAAACAGGTAGGGAAGAGATGGGTATAGACTGTTATTAGCTCGCAAGATTCACACTATAAAGTACACTGACTCAAATTTTCTCTAATCTTTCACACCTGCACTCAAGCAAACATACTAGACATAAAAATTGTGCAAGATCAAGCATCAGCTTTCTATTTTAAAAGCCTTAATAATTTAAAAATGTAGATAGGCTCACTGCAGTTTCTTTAAAGGAATATTATGTACTACAGTACTCCTTTAAAAAAATTCACAACTCAGTGTTAACACAGTAGGTAACTGCTGCTTGACAATTACTTAACATTACTCAGAGCATCCAGTGACAGTTATCAACTTCAACAATAAGAACCACCTGACAACAAAAGGGAAAAATTTGTAATTGATGTCACCAACCTTAACAAATTCATTAATAATACTCACTACGACATATTATTCACCCTTGCTTCATAATCACACGAAATAATAAAGTCTTTGTAGGTTACATACGGAATAGCAGCACCTGCCATACTGCATAAAACAAGGTTGCCCACATGGATGCTCTACAACCCCTCAATGTATAGCTGAGAGGTCTTGTCCTACCCAGTGCCCAATGTTTGTAATGCAACATTGCTAGGGCAATGATTGCACATTAGTAGGATTAAATAAATGTATAAAGTACTCCTTTAAAATGATAAAAGGGTGCTTCTGCATTCAGATGTAGAATACAATGATCCAGCAAATGGAAGAGGAGAAACAGGAAATAGTCCTTAGGTTACTGATTAAAGCAAGGTTTGATAAAGATATCCCCTCTTGTAGGCACTCAGCGGGTAGAATGTAGCCACAACAAACTTCCCATCAAACATCCTTCCAGTCAGTAATTTCTGAGCAGCTTTGGAATCCCCAGCATTTGCATACTCAACAAAGACCTGAAAGAGAACAGAGAAAACAAACTCATTTCATTTCCACCATAATTGGCACTTTACCAAATTTAATGAATATGCAGTCATGCACTGCACAATACACTGGCCAATGGTGGACAGCATAAGATATAAGTCCCATAAAATTACAATGGAGCTGGAAAATTGCCTAGTATTTTTGCTATACTTTGTGTCTAGGTAAGTTAGATACACCAATGCTTACCATTGTATTACAACTGCCTACAGTACTTAGTATGGTAGTAACATGCCATCAGGATTTGTAGCCTAGAAGTAAATGGCTATACCATACAGCTTAGGTGTTTCGCATAAGTACCTTCTATATCAGTTTGTCCAACTACAAAATTACCTAGCAGTGCACTTCTCAGAATATGTCCTGTCATTAAGTAACACATGATTGTATATCACTTAAGGATGTTGTTAAAAGGCAGATTTTGCTTCTATCATCATGTCCAAAGTTTGACCAGTTTTTGCATTTTGTAACAAACTATGATGCCAACACTGGTGGTCCAGGTACCATAATTTAGAGCAGCAAGATTTAGAACACTTCATTAGAATTCAGTCCAATTCATTAAACGCTTCAAAATCCATTAAAGACTAATTGAGTGAAAAATATATAACTTTTTGTCAAGTTCATATAGGAATGATGAGCAGCACTACGCCGCCAAAAGTAATTCTGAACAGCCCAAAGAGTAACTGCATTTTAGCAGTGCTTCAAAGATAACCTGCTCTTTCCAAAGTTAATCAAGAAAAAGTATTGGTCAAAACCCACTGGAAATTACTACTAAAATATTTGGAGCAATTATAAACCATAGCCATAAAGAAGAAATTCAAAAATTCAAAAATAGGTAATTTCCTTTTCCAGAGCTTCTGAATTCTTACCCGAGGTACAGAGAAGATACAACATAATAATTTGCAAGTTCTTTTGAGACTTAAAGGTTACAGCAAAGTGAAATGATCTGAAAAGACTTCCTCCCAGTTACCCTATGAACTGGTGAATGAGACAAAGAACTGCCCCTCCTTCTCAATTGTATCCCTCATTATTTCAACAATCTTCACACTGAGGATCAAACATCCTAGGACTTTCAGAGACTTTAAAAAGAGATGCAAAAACAATTATTTTAAGGAAATCAATTTCTAGATCTTCAACTTTCATTTGTACATTTTACTAAAATCAATCTGCCTACCAGTTTGGGCAAGTTATCCTTTTTCATTTTCCAGTTCATAGGAGTCTTTCTCTTGCTTGAAAAACCAAAGTTATTTCCACAAGGTATAACAGCTTCCAGGGTATGAGAAGACAAAATTTCTAATATAGTGTTCTTTTTTTTTTTTTTCCGGGACCAGGGATTGAACTCAGGACCTAGTACTTGCAAGGCAGGTGTGGCACCACTGAGCTAAATCCCCAGCCCTAAAGTTTTCTATTTTTATGGAATCCTCTTTTATTGATAAATAAAGCCCCATGCCTTGCCACTCCCTCTCTTAGGCAAGTATTTCTGTTAAGGATGATAAAGGTTATTAGACCTAGAGTATTTTGGCCTGTCATCACATATGATTTTCTGAATTCATATACAGAACACTAAATACTGGAGAAGTGGGGCCAATGGCTCTTGAAAACAAGTATTTAATGCTAAAAACTTCCTTTTACATATGTATAAAGATAAGTCTATTCTTAAATCCCATCCTGACACATGCCATTAACTGGAAATAAATGCTCTTAAAAATGGACAAAGCAGTATAGTCAGGTTATTTATTTTAAGTATAAATGAGGAAAATACTATTGATAAAATTGTATGTGATTGCTTTCATAGTAGGTATATTTCATATAAGACAGTTAAAAATCTATATTATCAAAACTGTCAAGAAATATACGATTAATGGTTTCCTTAATCTTTTCTTTGTAAAATTGTGCATTTTATTCATTCCATTGGCTGAGAACTGCTATTTTAAAAATACAGTATTGTACCAAAAAAAAAATCACAAAATGTTACAAAATAAAGTACAAACTCATTACTTAATAAATATGACTAGTTAAAATGGAAACAAGATAGATTTTTAGACAGGAAATACTGTTTGACCCAGCAAATCATACAAGCTCTACTTATATTTTTACATAATAGAGGCACTCCTACTTTGCCTTTTCAAAGAATTTTAAAGAAACAGAATACTAAGACAATATTCTCCGGCTATAAAAATAATGCCAAGGATGGTTCCAGGCATTTACGCTATCAGTTTTTAAATCTCTTAGTTGAATTCAAGAAGCTTTTTATTTATTTTTGTTCTTTTATTGGTACATTTTAGGTATACAATTCGTTTACATTTATCATTGGGTGTTTGTACCTGTACACGATGTATCTTGGTTCTTTTTTTTTCCCCATTACCTGTGCACCCTTCACCCCCTCCACCCTTCCCTATTTACATAGATTTCATTTCCATTTTTTTTTTTTTCTCATAGTTTTTCCTTTCCCCTTCCCCTCCCTTCACTCCTTCGTTTTTGGACCTTTTTTCGTATTTCAAATTATCAATTATTCATTTTAACCCTTGTTTACACTATCAGTTTCTCACACTAGTGAAATTATCCGGTATTTACACCTGTGTGTCCTATTTATTTCACTTAAGAGTATGGCCTCAATATGCATCCATTTAGCTATAAATGACTCTAGTTTGTCGTTCTTTATGGCTGAGTAATACTCCATTTTATAAAAAAACCACATTTTCTTTATCCAGTTTCCAGTTGATGGGCACCTGGGCTGCTTCCAAGCTTTAGCTATCACAAACTGTGCCGCTATAAACATGGGTGCACATATATCACTGTGGCATGATTCTTTTAATTCTTTTGGGAAGATCCCCAGCAGGGGAATAGCTGGGTCAAATGGGACGTCTAGTCGTAGTTCGTTGAGGTTATCTCCATACTGACTTCCACAGTGGTTGCACCAGTCTGCACTCCCACCAGCAATGGAGAAGGGTTCCTTTCTCCCCACAACCCCACCAGCATTTGTTATTGGTTGATTTCTTGCTAGCAGCCATTCTTTCTGGGGTGAGGTGGAATCTCAGTGTTGTTTTCATCTGCATCTCTCGAATGACGAGTGATGTTGAACGTTTTTTCATATATTTGTTTGCTGCTTTTACTTCTTTGTCTGAGAAATGTCTGTTCATTTCAGATGCCCATTTTTGACTTGGGTCTTTGAATTTGGGGGATCTGATTTTTTTCAATTCTTTATATATTCTAGATAGTAGTCCTTTGAGGTACAGCTGCTAAAAATTTTTTCCCATATTGTAGGCTGTCTGTTAGCTCTGTTGATGGTTTCTTTTGCAGTGCAGAAGCTTTTTAATAAGATGAGATCCCAATTGTTGATGCTTTCTGCTAGTTTCCATGCTGCTGAGGTTTTGTTCATGAAGTCTTTTTCTATGCCAATGTCTTCAAGAAGCTTTTTAAAGCAGGAGACTTCTCTCATCACAAAATTTTATACCATGTTAAAATTCTTTTATTACAAAATGACAAATGTAAATAAAAACAAGAGCACCAGACAATATACTGTAAACATCAGCCAGAACACAGAATCATCATTCTGTCATCAGCAAGTATCAAGACTTAAGACATGCTACTATCCCTTAAAAAAAAAAAATCTTCCTACATCCATGCCCTTAAGTATTTCAAGACTGATCATTTCTAGAAAATAACAATTTCCAAAACAACAGTGTTTCACCAAAATGGAATGGGCCAATCATCAGGTAACATAAGTACATCAATATCCACTAGAAAAAATTATCTAAGAATTGTGAAATTCAAATTCCAACATAAAATAACTACTAAATCAAAACTGCTCAAAATAATAAATTTCATAAAAACCACTTCTCTGGATTTATACTGGGAAGCTGTGTCAACATGAAACACATCATAGATGAAGGTACACCAATTTTTTAAAATGTGCAAAAATACAGTTTTATAGAAAATAGACTACCAGGAATGAACAAATTTATTGTAATGTGAGAAATTAGCTTGCAACTTAAGTAGTGCTCATTTTATACAGCAAATTATAAATGGCAGTAGGACCACCCAAAGTTATCAGGAAACATCATTTAGGTGCCCAGCAACCTTCAGCTCTGAGAAAACATTCAAAGAAATGATTAAGGCATTACACCTACAGAAAAATCTACCAGAAGTTTAAAAGTGCTATTACCCTGATTAAAGCTCATGTGATTCTCCAAACACAAGTTACCTATGCAATTTCCCCAAGAGGTTAAGGTTTTCAGACCTTACAAGAGAATGCATTTTATTCAATATACGTTTTGGACAGATATATGGCCATGGATTTGGCAAGTTCTTCATCTCGTTTTCTTTGCACTTGGGTTTGTTTGCACCATCTGTCATACTCCAGGTTAGGATAGAGTCTTTCCTTAATCTCAACAATATTTTTTTTATAAAAAATAAAAGTAAACTTGGCAGCAGGACTGATTTTAAGCAATATACGCTTTTTCACTAAGTACAAAAGGAAACTTAAAACATAATATCTAGTGAAAATGAGTCTATTTCTCACTTTTTTTCTGGTGCTCAACTACTTTCAAATCTGTACACAAAAGTTCAATGAGACATGCATTTACAGGAGGAATACCATACTTTCTACATTCTTCCTCCTTCAGACAACCTATAATTTTACATATTATATTGTTTTGTCCTAAATAAGAAAAGCATATTGTTATAATTATGATTATATTAATTATAAGCTTTACTACTTTACATTTTAAGCCTTACTAGTTTTTGTAATTATAAGACACATCTATAATTTAACTTCCTGTGGTGTTTGTAATATCCCTTTAGTAATTATGTTTCTTTTAACTGAGAAGTTAAAATGAAAGACATCACCTAGGTAATAGATATTTTTAACAGACTAAATTAAATCTGATTCCAAGGGTTTAGCAAAAGCTGTTTTCAGTTTTCTTAAATGCTGTATAAGTGAAAAACTTCTCAACATAGCAAATTTCCTCACATTGATAATATCAAGACTTATTTTTTTAATGTCATCTTACAGCTAGAAATATCCCTCCTGTTTCTCTATTCTGTGTCTTCCATTTCACTTTGACCACTAAGGTTAACATTGAGTCAGATTATGTTTAGCCTTAATTTAAAATCTTCCAATACCTATTTTTATTCACAATAAAAGCCAATGTTATCTCACTCTACTTGCTTTGCCCCCTACACTCCCTCAGCCTCTATTTAATGTAATCTACTATTCTTTCCCTTTCTCACTCTACTTCAGCCACACTGGCCTCCTTAATTCTGCTGGGCATTCTCAGGGACGTAGAACTTTTTGTTTCTTTTGCCTGTAATTCTCTTCATTACTTCCCTCAAATCTTGATCAAGTGTGCCCTTCTTAGTGTGCCCTTCCCTACCATGTGATGGAAAAGAGCAACACATCCTACCCCAGCACTCTTTAAGCCACTTCTTCAATCTATTTTTTTCCCTTTGCATTTAATCACTGTATTTTTTTGGTGTTTTGATTGCTGTTGTATGCCAAGTGCCTAGAACATATCAGAACCACACCAAGCACTGGTGAAAAGACTAAACATCAAGAACACATTTAGCATGTTCTTGACATTGAATAAGATAAATAGTATTATTATTAGATTAGCAATAACTTTTCACTAAGACTAGAATAAAATTTTTTTCTGCTACTTTTTCAGTTGCCAAGACTTTTCATACAACTGAATGTATAAAATAAAACATTCCACAATCAGTGGTGATTCTACCCCTCATATGGACAACTGGCAGCACCTAGAGAGATATTTGGTTTACCAACTGGAGGTGAAGGAATATCCAGTGGCAGAGGCTGAGGATGCTTTTACTAAATATCCTGCAATGTATAGGACAGGTCCTTCAACAAAGAATTATCAGGCTCAAATGCTAATAGTGACAAGACTGAGAAACCTTGAGATATAGTAAAGCAATATTCTGTTTCTCTAAAACTGAAAATACTACAGATAAAGATTTTAAAATATTCTTTACCTTATAATTTAGAATTGTAGTTTCTAATGAAAACACTGATCAGTTTTAGCCCATACATTCTTTTAGGTGAACAATGTTTGAGGCTCATCAAAATAATCATACTGAGACTAGAACTCAGGTTCTAGGATTCTCAGTCCAGCATACTTTACTTCAAAGTATAACAATCAGAACCTAACCCAACTGGTCTTCTAATTCTACTTAAATAGAATAAAATTGAACCAAATACTTCTCTAGATGAACCTGACCTAAACAAACATATAATTCAGTTGGTGTCACTGTTTACAACAGCTCAAAAAATAGATTAATACTTTTTCTTAAAGTCTGATTTAAAAAGGCAAGTATATTATAGAACTTTTAAAAAAGCAAAAAGCACAAGAAAATAATAATCATCCATAACACAAAACCTTTCTTAACAAACTTTTTGTGCACATCTTTCCACAGAATATATTTAATACAGAATTTTAACCTCTGAATAATTCTACAATTACTAACACATCCACTTACTTGTCCTCTGCCAGGATTTTCCTTTGGAACAAGCAGAGATACTACTGGTCCGTATTTTTGACACTCCTCTTTCACATCTTCTACAACATCTGGTAATTAAAACATATTGGAGAAATCATATCAATGTAATAACAAGCATTCATTATTTGAGATTTTAAATCAAAGAATTCAGTGATACACAACTAAAATATACATTTTCTATATCTTCAAAATTAAAGCGTAAGAATATAAATTCAATGCATTTAGTAATTTTCCTTTTATTTTGGTGTTTTAAATAAGTCATATTCAAATAATTAAATTTAAAAGTCTTCCTCAAATCTTCCCAACTACCGTTCCATTCCTCTTCTTGAAGACATCAGTTTCTTCTGTACTCTATCTTAAATCTTATAAGTATATATAAGCAAATATGGTTATATATACTTAAGGAAGAATTTTAATCCTGTTTTTATTTATTAAACAGTAGCTTGCCATATTACGACACAAAATCTTCTGATTTGTTTTTATGGTTGTATAGGACTTTACTCCACAAACGTCCAATAAATTATCTACTGATAGCAATTAAAGTACTTCCAAACCCTTTGACATTATAAACAATACCACAATAGATAAACCTGCACATATCTCTATTGCATATTTCTCAGTTGACAGTCCAGACATGGCATCACTGGGTCATATCAATGTGACAGGTAACAAAAAGATATCACAGTTTGATTTTAATTAGCATTTCCTTACTTCCTAAAAAAAATATTTATTGAGGATCTATATGTATTCTTTCACGTAGGTTAAATTCCAGTGTTACTATCTCTTGGATAAAATCCAAATTCTTAAACAGAGCAACCAGGTCTGTCAGATATCTGTACTCTGACTACTTCTTTAGCTTTAATCAACTGCTTTCCTACAAATATCTTAAGACAGTCATACCAACTCCTGTTCTCTGGATGTGCCACTTTCTCCATGTCTATGTGGTAGTTCAATCCCTCAACTTTTAGCCAAGCAACTCTAATTACCAATAGAGGTCAGACAGACCCTGTGCAGAGAAGCCCTAACTGATCACCGAGTCTGGGTTATGCACCCTTCCTCTCTGTAATCTTCATTACCTTATCTTCAGATCATCACAACTGTAATTGTTTGTACATGTCTCCCCTAGTATATTAAAAACAGGGAATAATCCAACAATGATGCATAATAATCAACAAATGTCAAATTAATGGGTTGTGAAAAGCAAAAAAGCACATTAAAAAAGAGAAATAAAACCATAGAGAAGGGATATAAAAAGACTAGAGATATATAAGTTGTTAGAGAACTTAATCTTTGTTAATTTAGTAAAAAGGGATCGTAAGAGTCAAAAGTACTTTATGAATCAAAAAGAGTATTTTAGAGATCACATAGTAAAATGCCCTCATTAAACTTTCCTATAAATTGAAAAATAAGATAATCTTATGAATAGATATGTCTATTCAAAAATTAGTTTAAAAAAACCCACATTAAATAAAATCTGGGAAGAACTAACCTTCATATTCCTCTTCATTCTCAAGATAATCATCATCCAGCACATTCAGCAGCCTCAGCACTGGAGTAGGAAGCATCACCAGATCTTCAATATGAGGGGCTGTTAAAGTTCATTATACTATGGTTAAATGTAAATTCTCCCAAATAAATTGATATATAATAGACAAAGGAGCTCAGAAATGTACATGACCAGGAAAAAAATAATTAAGACTTCTCCCACTTACCAAAAGGAATGCTAAAGAACGGGCTGCACAGTGCCATTTCAGCAGGAATTCTTCTGCTCGGATCATCATGAAGCATGCTAAAACACAAACACAGTAGTATCTTTATAATTACTGCTAAATCTTCCAAAAATGCAGCCATTAAAGAAACAAAGTGTATAAATGTTCACCATATTATTGTCTTACAATTTTTTTTTTTTCCGGTACCAGGGATGGAACTCAGGACCTCGCGCTTGCAAGGTAGATGAAGTGCCATTGAGCTAAATTCCCAGCCCTACCACAGTATTAATTGTATTAGCATGTTTACTGATTCATTCACCTATTAAAAATATAATTCTTATTTATGACTAAATGAAGCAATAAACCATGGTACATATCTGTGGTATATCATACTATGATTTGAAGCAATGTTTTTGATTAATAAATGAAACACAGTGAAGTGACCCACAGTCTCTACTGAATAAAGAACAGCTGGATACAAGTCAGGGTAATGCAATTAAAAAAAAAATGATGATGGTGGAGTAAGTGTAGAATCTTGTCAAATTCTCCCAATAATAAGACAACCCGTTGATACCAAAACCAAAACCCAATGATAACACAACAAAAGCATGGAGACAAACCATTAATACCAGTAAGACTTGTATTCTGTTGGCTATATGTATAAGAAAGCAGAAAAGAACAATAGTTCTTCTAATGAACCTGAAAAAATTACCCAAAATAGCCAAGAGGTACTCATTAGAAAGCACAGCAAACCAATCTGACAAAAGCAGCTAAAATTACAAGGGGTTATACATTCTGTACCAGGTGAGTACAAGGATCCTCTTAAATCTAGACACTAAAACCAGCTGAAGCTCCCTTCCATGGCCAAGTCCTGCACTTGAGGGGGAGCCTTACTGTCTTTTTAAACATTACACACAAAAAACGGTGAATGAGCCCTATGTAATTAGAAAAACTTCTCCAACTACACCTTCTGAAAGTGCAGGACAATGAATTTTACATAAAAATAAACAACATGAAAAGGATGTCAAATTTATTATACAAAAGGAATTATAAAATACCTCTCAGTGACTGCACGACAGAAAGACATGAACAAAAACAGATGAACATTATAACCTACCACTTCAAAATGAACTAAAGATATTTTTTAAAATGATACATGATATGAAAAAGTAACATAAATCAAAATTAGAAAATCTCAAAAATGAGGTAATAGAAGTCAAGAAGGAGTTCAAAATAGAAAAATAATTTCATAAAATAAGATTACACTAGAGGAAATATTAGAATGAATAAACAACAAATAATGTCTCAAAGAGAACTAGAAGACGAGACATTTTTAAAAATCAAAAATAAGGCAAGAGATAAAATAGATTCAAGAGAAAGAGACAATACTAACTACAGGCAAAGAAAATTCAGTATCTATAAAATGCCTAAAAAGCAGAATGTAACAAATACAAAAAATTGCACAATTTAAAAAGTTTTCTAAAACAAAAAAAGATCTGAAACTATATACCAAAACCATACATGTCCCTTAGAATAAAGACCAGGAAAATCAAATCAACATATATTCTGGTAAAATTACTAGACTCTGAAGAAAATGATGAAATCCATTGAACGTTCTCAATAAAAAAAACACAAGGTTTTTTGTTGCTGTTTTTCTGGTGCTGGAGGTTGACCTTAGAGCCTTGGGCATGCCAGAAAGCACTCTATTGGTAATCCCCAATCCAACCAGGTGATTTTAATGAAAAAACAATTCAAGAGGGGCTGGGGATTTAGCTCAGTGGCACTGTGCCTGCTTGGCAAGCGCAAGGTCCTAAATTCGATTCTCAGTACCAAAACAAACAAACAAACAAACAATTCTACAATCATCAAACCTTTCACCATGACCACTATGTCCGAAGAAAAAGTGCTAACATCTTTAAGACATTCTAAGAAAGAACATAGGCCAAAAATTTTCACATCCATCCAAACAAACAAACAAAAACGGTTCAAGTATAACAAGCCCTATCAATGTGCTAGAACTCAGGGAATATTATGATCTAACTAAAATGACTAGACAGCCATCAACACGAACCAGTAATGAATATTAAATATACAGTTACATGTAACTAATATTAAATGACAGATTATTAAAACAGCATAGAGTACAATGGCCATGTAATCTGACAATGCAGATACAGCTACTTTTTAAGTGGGGGAAGAAAGGGGAGAGTATATTAAAAAATAATTTGACTGTTTTAAGTACTCTTATTCGAGAACTATTATTCTGAGAACATATATAATTGGAATAAAGCAAATAAGTAATTATAAAATATTCTAATTCTAGCAATCCCTTTGTACTTAAGAACCAGAATTCTTTTTTTCAAACACTGAACACAAACACCATTTTTCCTTTTACAAAGTAAGATCGTTAGTTTCAAATTAGCTGAGGTATTAGGACTGTCAATTGCCATGAAATTAAAAATGACTCTACATATCAAACTCAAATAGAAAATGCCATGCAATATATAAATCACTAAGAGACCTCTGGTGTAATCAGCAAGTTTACTATGTTTATTAAAGTCACATAAATGGTTTGACAAAAGTGCACAACAGAATGACATCACTGGCTTGTTATAGATCACAGTGAATTACTAGAATACAACAATGTAGCCCCTCTACATGGAGGTCTGCAGGATGGGGTGAGTATTATTAAAGGCAGGATCTTTGCAATGGGTTAGGCCAGTCAGGTTTTATTTCTCCACCACTTACCTCCGAAAAAACTGGTTAGGAAAGCCGAGGCTTTCCCCCTCATCTCTTCTCCTCTACCAATTACTAAGCAACCATGAAAAGTCCACACGCAAACTTTACAACAACTGATAAAGAATAGATTCAAAAACCGGTTCACTGTACCACTTGGCAATCTTGCATCTTCGCTTCTTCACTGTTCTGATTAGGCCATTCATCACATGACGCAGCCCTAGAGGAGCTGTTTAGTAATTTAGCAACATTCACCCCTGCACACACATAAAGATATGCCCCATAACCATTGAGTCAGTCCTTTTCCTGTACAGTAACACAAAGGTACACTCCACAAACCTAGGACCAGACCACATTTCTTTTTTTTCTGGTACTGGGGATCAAACTCAGGACCTCGTGTTTGCAAGGCAGGCACCAGAACCACTGAGCTAAATCCCCAGCGCCCAGACCACATTTCTTTATAGTGTTAAATATCAGGCCGGGATTTAGCTCAGTGTTTCCAATGCCTGCCTCCCAAACACAAGGTCCTGAGTTCGATCCCCAGTACCAAAAAAAAAAAAGAACATAACACCATTATCAGAGCAGTATTTGTTTCTGGTCCTATAGTTGGAGGAGGGGACACGGCACAACCCAGGCCATCTGAAGGTTTGGGTGAGCCTACTACAAGTGTCTCACAAAGCCCTGCAAGGTGGTAACATAAATAATGAGGTGCTTACTGCTCTCAAGAGATGACCTGCAGAACAAAGCTATGCATTTTCAGCGTAGGAATGAACACAGCTTAAAATCATGTGGACTAAATATTTTAATAGAGCAAAAAGCAGCTTTGTTAAGAACCAGAATTCTGATGTGGAAAAAAAGGACATACAGACACAAATAGAAGCAGAACCAAAACCTGTGGCCTTAAATTCAAGTTGTAAATTCAACTTGAACTCTGTCTACTTTAAAAGCCTGGAAATAATGATGACCTTGGTAGCAATGAATGTTTCCAATACCCAAACTGTGATTTTAGAATACTTTCTACTAAAAAGAAAAAAACCCCCAAGCTTCTTGGGAGAAATGGCTAAGTCTCACTCTGGGGCAGGAAATGTGTAAGATGAACTGGGAGCACCTTGTCATACCACATAGCAAGGAAGCTATGGAATAATTGCCCACCACAATTAACATGCAGAGGTTCCCAATCATAAAAGATGATTAAATAGGGTGAAAACTGCAACAAACAAAATACATCAATTAAGTTTAAATCGATTTATTTATAATGATAGTTTAAATTATTAAAACAGGGTATGATCATCTTCAGAGGATAACAAGGAACCAACTAATTTATCTTGAAAACTAGCAAATAAAGAAAGAGAATCTAGTACAATATTTATCTTTAGTTAACAAAATCAAGAACATATGCAGAATAACAAGAATCACCGTTCTCTAACACCTAACAAAGTAACAGATCTAAGGGATTAAGTATAATAGTTGTTAACTCATAAAACAAAGACAACATACCATGTGGCTCCTTATAAAAAATATATCATCTACAATCTTAAGAAAAACACCAATTCTCTAGATACAGCTATCAACTTATAGGGATTAAACAGAAATATGTGAAAATGTACCATGATGATAGAATTAGCAAAATTCAGAGTGTAGAAAACTTTACTGACCCAACAACCCAAGTTGTACAATAGATAAATCACAGGGAAAAGGAGGGGAAGAGAGGGAAAGGGACTCTAGATTTATAGAGACTTAAAAGGCTTTGTTTTGAAGAGCAAAACTAAACCCTAGTTTAAGGATAGGAAAACAGAAAGTGATCACCATGTAAGTCAGCACAATGGTTACTTTTAGGAAGAAAGGGGTCTAAGATTGGGATGTGGACAGAGACAGGGACTCTGGGGTAGCTGGCAAAGTATCTTATTTCTTGACTAGAATGGTGGTTACAATATTTCTAAGGAGCCATCAAACTACATATTTGTTCTATTAATATTTGTAATAGCTGTTTTATAATACTGTAATAAAAAAGTTCAAGTAATTTGCATGCCTACATAACACAATATGCAGAAAAGTATCTTAATATAATGAAACATTAACACTACAAACTCAGTTTACATTTTTTATTTGTGCATCAGAATGTTTTATAGTTAGCAAATTTAGTTTTATTTGTAAAATGAAGGGGCCTACTATTTTTTAAAACATCAACACTAGAATTTAATAAATACTTTGACTTCCAGGCTAAAGTCCATTATTTAATTTTACATTGCCATTTCCTCAATGTGAACTGCAATTTGCGATATCCATTATCAATCAGCTACTGATAGATATTTTAAAATAATTTGAAAAACACACATATACAAATAAGTATGTGTAAAATTGGCAAAATCTGCATGAATTCTGTGGATTGTACCATCAATTTATTGGTTTTGATAATCTACTACAGTAATGTCAGATGTTATCACTGGGAGAAACTGGGTGAAATCTGGACATCCATATAACATATTACAACTTCTGATGAGTTTTAATTATTTAAAAATAAAAAGTTAAAATTAATTTGAATATTTGTAGGGCCCGTATTCCAAAGAAACTACAATACTCTCACTTAACCAAGAGAGTTACTTTTCTAGCACAGTAATTATTAATTTTTCACTCCTTATGCTAGAAACCCAAAAAGCCTAGTAATTGATAATACATATTACAGTATTTGAATCTATCCAAATATTAGAAACACTATATCTATTCCTAGAGTTTTCAATGGTATACAATTAACAACTACTTTATTCAAAAAAACTTTTTTTATTTTTTATTTTTTTTAGTACCAGGGATCGAACTCGGGTCCTCGCGCTTGCAAAGCAGGCAGCAAAACCTATACCAAAAGCAAATTTGGTCTTTTGTTAATATTCTATTTAAAAACTGGTTTTCCATCAATTATATAAAACTGCCAGAGATAACAAAAAGCCAAAGGTATAGTGGCCCAGCACATACCTTCCAGTGAATAAATAGTAACAAGGAAGAGTTTAAGATTTGGTACTCACCACGAACAAAAAAAACATTCTTTTGAAAATAAATTTTGTAAAACTGTCTGAATAGTCATATTTCTCATGAGATGCCTGCATAGGTAGGATATCTAAGCTAAAATTCTTATTTCTAAGGGAGTAAAATTTCTACATGATCAAGCAAATCAGAATATAAATTCATTCAGGAAATTTTCATACAGTAAATGTGTCCAAAGCAGGTTTGCAGTACAGGTAACATACCTTTTGATAAGGTCTCTTAGGTGATAGGCTGGAATTGCGGCATTCACCACTGCTTTACTGGCAAATATGTGATCAATAATAGCAGAACTGTTTGCCTTAAAAAAAAGAGAAAAGATGTCTTTAAGTTATTCAAATTCACTTTGTGTGTATGGAGTACTAGGCACACAGGACTATTTGGTAAGTAATACGCAAGAGAAAACACTCTCCTAATAGCTTATGAACTTAATGGAGGAGACTATAACATTATCATATGTTTCTAGAAAGGAAGAACACTTCTTTTCTCCATTCTCAGCACCTAACACAGTACCTGACACTCTATAAACATTTAACCCAAGCAACCATGTAAAGATGTAATTTAATGCAAAGTGAAAAATGAATGTGTAACAGGTGAGTCAGTGTCTGATGTAGTCTTCAGTTGATTTTCAGACAGACAAAAACCTATCACTGAGAAAATGAGTAAGTATTAAAATGTTATTTGTCACATTATTCATACTCTAAATCTTTATGGAATATAAATTTTCCTCCTTGAGTACTATGCTGATTCAGAATGTGGAACAGTGTACATGAGTAAAAGACCTGATACAAGCTGGGTGTGGTGGCACATGCCTGCAATCCTACCACTCTGAGAAGGTGAGGGAGGAGCATCACAAGTTAAAGCCCAGCCTAAGCAAATTAGTGACCCTGAGACCCTTTCTAAGAACAAGGGCTGAGGATGTACCTCAGTGAGAAGACCGTGGGGATCAATTCTCAGTCCTGTACAAAACAATAAAAAAAAAAAAGACCTGCTACCATATTATCACTAAAATTTACTGAATTCTTACCATGGACCATACACTGTGCTTAAAACTAAGCATCATTTCATCTTTTAATCTCAATACTGTTATATGTTATTATTCTCATTTTTTAGAAAGTAAACCGTGAAAGCAAGATATAAACCCTAAACATACCAGTTGGTAATTTTGCCTTATAGAAAATGATAAAACAAAACAATAACGTTTTACCTAGAAAGGTTTATATTCAGGACTTCATTAATATATATTGTTCCTCCACATTTCACACAAATTTTGAAAGTGACCTAATTCTGGCAAGCTCTAGACCAACCAAATGCAGTCCAAAGTGTTCAGATTGTCAAGGTTAATTCAATGAATCAATCTACATTTGGATTAGCCTCTTGACTGTCTGGAGTACCAATAATAAAGAATGATATTGGTTTTTACCTCACAGTAGCATTTTTTTAGTCAAAAATAACCATTAAATATACTCATTAGGCTGTTAAAAGTATTCCTTCCAGGAACTGCTACACTAAACATAAGTAACTGGGAAGTTTTAACAGAAATAAAACTCTGTATATTATATTGTAATAGTCATATAGTATGTTATGTATCAGAGGCTCAAAAGATAATTATTGCTTAAAATGAAAACATTTCATATTATATGTTTAATTTTTAAAAATTTAATTTCAGAGCCAATAATAACCCCAAAACATTGTATTATTTATCAAACCAAAGCTAAAGTAAACTGGCATGATCATAACATTAAAGTCCCACAATATTCAAAAACAATTCTTAACTTCATTATAAATATTTAATAATTTCATTCAAATGTCAGAGGTTTAGAACTTAGAATTCATGTTCCCACAGAAAAAATGATATAAACAGTGGTCATTCTACCATATTCACATATGGAATACAAATAGATATGAAATACAAATATGAATATAAATGCAAAATATGAATACAGATATGTGTGAGGGGATGGTGGGGCCTTGGCCAGGGTCACCGGCCCATCGTGGCCTGAGTTGTGAAGGAGGGGCTGAGAGCTGCTGCCTACAAGTGTCTCCATGCTCTCCCCTGCCCACTGACCTGGGAACTCCTTGCCAACACACCCACATCCCAGCCCATATGCCTCTGGAAAAGGATGTGGGTCTCACCTCCCGTTTCAGGCACAAACCCTCCTGTTCAGGGTCAGAGCCTCAGCACCCTGCCTTCTGCATGATCCCAAAGCACAACTGGTGAGTGGGGAGGGGCTGCCCTCCCTGACTCCCACCCCTAGGTCAGGCAGAAAGGTTGGCCTGTGCTGCCTCTGCACACAGGTCGTCTCCCTCCTTTACTGTATCAGCTTGAGGCCTGACTTCCCAGTCCTCACCTAAGAAATCTGGACTTCCCCTGGACAGTTTTCTATAAAGTCTGCAATAATCTCAAAGAAAAAAAAAGTATAGTGTAAATTGTGGAAAGCACCTTTAACCTTTAAAAAGAACAGAATTTGGGGCCCAAGTATGGAGTACCTAGCCATATGATCTGAAGCAAACTGTTTTATACATCTGTGCCTCCAGTTTTTTGTTTTTCTGTACTGGGAATTAAAGCAGGGGTTTTGCACTGATCCATACGCCCAGCCCTTCTATTTTTAATTGGAGACAGGATCTCATTAATTTACTAAGTTGCCAGGCTGGGCTTCCACGTGCAATCCTCCTACTCTAGCCTCCCAGAGTGCTGGATTATAGGAGTATGCCACCAAGTCCAGCTATGCATTTCATTTATTAGACAAAAATAACCAATAAACACTCTATCCTCACAGAATAATTTGAAGAACTTAGTTAGACTGTACATTAAATTACTGTTTTTAACTATAAAGCATTATGTACAGATTACCTTATAACCTACGGTTCAATCAGTAATACCTTAGAAACTAATACAATTAAACTACTAAACAAAGAAATCACTTTGCTTCTTCAGGAAATGCATTCATTGAAGTATTTTGTCAAACATAACATGCCAGAACCCAGGCTAGGCACAATGAGAATGCAATGCTCATTAGCATACACAAGAGTAAGCATAAAAGAGTAATCAAAGTGTCATTTAAGACGTCAGAAATACAGAAAGAGAAGTATGGAGAAAAGGACACAATTGGATTCCCTAATAAGAATCAACATAAATCGAATATTCTTAAGGATCCCAAAGCAAAACACTAGTGCAGTTTACCTTCCATTCCTGAGATCTGACTGTATGTTTCAGTTTCATTCCTGAGAACATTTCCAGTAAAATGATTCCTAGGCTCCATAGATCAACAGCTGAGGTACATTCTGTATCACTCTGCAAGCCGGCCTGGGCCAAGCAATTTTGCAATTCTGCTTCTGGAGCCCGATACCCGTCTGTCTGAATATACTTTACATCCTAAGTAAAATGAATAAATATTATAACAAATAAAAAGCTGTGGACTTTCCATCTGTCTCAGTAGAGTGTATTTACTTCTCTACACATGCAATACAACACTGCCAAACTAAATGTCAAAAATGTTCTGTCCTTGGTTACCATAATTCTTCAGTTCATTAATTGGCCAGTTCTCACAGACAAGCTATACACTTTCCATACAGCTGCTCATAAAGAAGTCTTCTTTAGATAGTTTCTTACATATTAGGCACTGCTGATAAAAAAAGATATTCTGCAAAGAGCTGATAAAACATGGAGAATGAAGGATTTGCCAGAACTGTCACATGCATTTTTCCATAAAATACAGCACCAACACTGAAGATACAAGGAAGAGTAACTCGGCAATTAACAAAATGCTCATAGAATAAAAAAAGCATTCTATTACGTTAGTACTTTTATTAACTCCTATGCCCTTCTAGTTTCTCCTTCCTGACCCAAATACATGCACTTTTTTCATGTGGTGGTCGTGAAATTCTTTTGATTTGCTTCCATCCCCAGGTATTTCAGTTTTAGCTAGAAATACTTCAGTTCCAACTAAACTGTCCCTGTTATTTCAAAATATATAGTTTAAACCATTAGATTTTAAACTATAAGGGAAAAGAAAAGGCATTTCTTACCTGATTGCCCTCTTTGAAGCTAAGTCCAAAGTCAATGAGCTTAAAACATTCATTCTCCGCACTCCACAATATGTTACGTGGTTTGAGGTCTGCATGGACATAACCCTCATGATGAAGAAAAGCAAGGGCCTCCAGAACATCTCTGGCACAATGCTGTATCATCCACATGGAACAACCCTGGTGACTGGAATATAAAAGCAATTCCGAAACACTGACATCCAGGAGTTCAAGCAACAGACAGCGTGATGGCACATTTGGAGAGAAGTGGATTGTAAAGACTCCATATAAAGTCACTAGAAAAAGAAACAAATTATAATGCCTTAAAAATAAGACTCAGTAAATTACTACTGAAGTATAGAACTGCAGTGTAAATTTCAGCTAGTCTAGATAAGGGTAACTTGGTTGAACAATCAACCTTCCAATATTTTTCCTCTAAGATCTTCAGACAGCTAGATTATTTTAATAAAATGAAACAACCTTCAACAGCTTATTACCAATCAAAGGTATTAAATATAGCATAATGATTCAAACTATTTCAACAAGGACTCAGTGGTGAGTGAATTTGCATTTAGAGTGCCAAATTAAAATTATTAAAAATTAAAATCATAATATTAAATTAACTCTCTTAAAAATAAATTGAACCTTACTTCTTGATCCCAAACAGCACTCTATATTCTACATATTAAAAGAGATTAAGACTTTCCAGATAATATTTTAACCTAATCTTGACGATTCAACAAGTCCTGAGGTCTGCAGAAATCTCTTCACTATCAAGGTTATAACAATACACCATCTAGCAAGCTTAAAAGAAATATGCAGTGCTAGTGTTAGGCAATTCTCCTCCAACACTGTATTATTAAAAAGGTCATTCTTTGAATTAAATGGAGGTTACAGTTGTCAAAAAAGTAAGCCCCCCCCCCTTTTTTTTAATTAACCAAAGCTATCACTAATCATAAGCTCTCTGCTGGTGTAATGACAAGATTGTTTTCACGGATCAATCATCAATGGTCATTACATGTGTAACATTCTGAATATCTGAGTCGTGAAACAATCTTACTAAAGCAAAAACAAAGTGTTCCTAAATTTCACTCTTCCATAAGGAATCCTGTGTAATACTGAGTCATTTCTTTCAAATCCACATGAAACGTGTATCAGTTAATAGCTATATACGTTATTACGGTAGCAGTGATGTCACAGCTCTGGAATATTTCCCATTTTCCACTGGTATGGAAAGACGACAATCTAGCAAAGATACCTCCTTTCATTAGAAAAGATATTTCTCTATGCTAAAGTGTGCGGCATTCTGCTAATAGACCCAGAAAATAGGACTAACTGAGCATCTACAGTGGGACACGGGCAAAGCAGACTACTAACTTCACCGTCCCTCACTCAGGCAGCAATAAAACGAAAGGGGGATGGGAAATGGGCCTGCATCGAGAGACAACGCGGAGCCAGATCCGCTTCTCCCGCCTAACGGACGAAACAGAAGACTCCAGGCTGAAGTGCATGCTTGGACTGGGACACAGGCAAGAAGGGAGACAGCGACAATTACCGATGTTCCGGTGACCCTGCAACTGCTCCAGCGCCGCCCTCTCTTTACGGAAACCGTACTCCGCCGCCGACGCTGCAGCCCCGGTGGTTCCTGGAGGTAAGAACTGCTTGAGAGCGCCGGGGGGCGAGCCGGGGGTGCCGCAGCAGCGTACCCGATACACCGAGGCCGAGGAGCCGCTACCCAGGCGGCTCTGTACCTGCCACAGCCGCCCGAAGGCCTCCAGAAACCGCGGCGGCTCCGCGCCCCACGCACAGCCGGACCCCGCCATCGGTGTGGCCTGAGGACGCTGACACGGAGTTGACACGACGCCTGGGGCGGGCTGACGGAGCCCGCGGTCACATCCCCGCCCGCCGGACCAGCGGCTCCGCAGGGAGGGGCCTGCAGCCGCCTCACAGACTCCCTGAACGTCAAGCCGCCATGACACCGGAAGCCGCTTGCACCCGGGTCGCAGACGCCGGAAGTGGAGGAAGAGCCAGTCGTACGGGCTGGAGGAGGTGGGTCCAGAAGGGGGGAGGATCCCTAAGTGATTAATTAGGTTGAGACTAAAGGACTGAGTAAGACATATTGAACTTCGTTATTTAATATCTGCCCCAGTGCTAAACGCTTTCACACCCATTACTGAAATTAAACTCTGTCGTTTTTCTTATCGAGGCATCTCACCTCTCCACTGGGAACCCAAGAAAGTAAAACCCTGCTTATATTTCTTGGAGAAAAGACCTCCAGGGAAGTGTTCCAGTTACTAATGGAGAGGGTTTACCACACCTCCAGGCCATAATTCCCGTACCGGGGATTGAGCCCAGGGTACTTTGCACCGAGCTACATCCCTAGCCCTTTTTATTTATTTTTTAAATTTTGAAACAGGTTCTTGCCAAGTCACTAAATTGCCCAGGATGAGCTTGAATTTATGATCCTCCTGCCTCAGCCTCCCAGAATTCTGGGATTACAGTTGTGTGCTGCCATGCCCAGCAGTCCTTGTCTTTCTCTTTGTCTATCTTGCCTGGTTCTGCCTCATCAAAGAGCGTCCACTCTGGGTAAACCTGAATCTTTGATGACTTTCTATTTTTCTTTCTATTGTTCATTTAACAGATGTTTACTGAGTAACAAACCTGGCAGTTTGAAGTGTCAGTCTACAATAAATGTAAACTTCTTTACTTTTCAGTAATTCAACTTTTTGTATTTCAAGCTCCATTCTGATGGGGTGGAAGAAACTTAGAGTCAGATAATGTTATGGTTTCTACCAACGTTATGGTTTGTACCTATGGTTTATATCTCTCAAAGCCTCATGCACTCATAGGTGAGGCTTGTGGGAGGTGATTGGATCATGGGGGCTTGACTGATTGGCTGATGAGTTTATAGCTAAATATGATATAGGAGGTGAAGCCTGGTTGGAGCAGGTGGGACTTTGGGTGGGTGGCCTGTGTCTATCATTTCCTCCTTTGATCTCTTCCTGCTGCCCTGCCATGATCTTTTTCTCCTCTGCGATGCCCCTCTGCCATACTATCTTGCCTTCAGGCCAGCTGACTATGGAAACCTGTAAAACTGTGAGTGAAAATACAGTGGACCCTTGAGTTATGACCGGCTTGACATATGAACTTGGTTTATTTTAGTTTTAACTTACAACCAAAGTCTTGGGTGAGAGCCTGAATTCAGGCTGCTTGTGTTTCTGGGTGGTCTCAGATATAGATTTAACCCTTAAAGAGTCCTGGAAGGAACATTACAACATTCTTTCCTGGTGGAATTAATTGAGAAACTCTAGGCCAGTGTCTAAGGATACTGAGATCTGCCTGTACACAAGAGGAGGACTTTGAAGGGTGTGTAGAGGAACCTGAGCCTTCAATTGATCAACTTGAGTTACAACCATCCCTCAAGAACGAATTGAGTTCATAAGTCAGGGGTCCACTATAAACCTTTCCTCCTGTAAGTTGTGGGTGTCAGGTATTGTGTCCCAGTGAGAAGTAGGTAACAAAGACATACAATTTGCCCCCGTCTCCTTTCCCTGAGGTTTTATATAAGTCCCCAACTAGATGGAGGGAGTTGTGTAAAGTGGAGAAGTTGAGGAGCTGCGTGTCTGGTTGCCACTGAGATGTGCCTGATTTCTGTCTGCATGGCCTTTTCAGGGCCTGGAATAAGGAGAGCTTGTGCACTCTCTTGCTTTTTGTAAGCAGCATTTTCTCTTAAGTCTCAAGTCCACGTCAATCTCGAGGGCATGGGCTTTTGGAATACAAAAATCAAGTAAACAGTCACAGGCCTTAGTGATTTTGCAGAAACATGGTCCTCTAAGAATAAAACACTGCCATCCATCGACTTATATAAAGGAAGGGAAAAATGGAAAAACTGGGTAAGGAAGTGGAGAATACACCTGCATTAAGTCCTGAGTAGAGGGAGGAGATGAAATAAAAAGAACCCTGATTTTAAGGAACATGGAGTTGGTACAATGACATAGACATTTATAACCTCATGTTCCAAAATATAAAGGTAAAAATTCTGTGAAAGAAGCGCTAAGGATCCTCTGAGGAACTCATTCATTAGGAAGGTATGAGTTAAAGAGAAGCATTTTATTCCTGTCCATTTACTGAAATACAGTATATCATCATCACAGAAAGTAAATGTTAAACTTCTAGAAGCTGACTGGTCCTCCCTGTGTCACTGGAATGCTGAATCCTTATCCAGCAGTCCCTTACTCCTTGGTTCTTTCTGCCTTTGATGAAAGAATTCAGTCACAACACATAGGTAGCCGTGCAGAAGTACAGGCAGAAGTTATTGAAAAGTAGATAGATAGGGCCGGGGATTTAGCTCAGTGGTTTCGCCGCCTGCTGCGCCAGTGCAAGGACCCGAGTTCGATCCCCGGTACCAAAAAAAAAAAAAAGTAGATATATAGAGAGTTATGCCATCAGGAGAGAAGATAGGCAGTGCCATGAAGGCATCTGCCTTGAGTGGTGAGTTTGGATATCTTTTTATACACAGAAAAGTTACTCCTGGGATTCAGGAAACTATGATGATTATCCTTGCTTTATTGATAGTCACATAATAGGTGTGCTTATCACCATTTCTCTTTGGAGTTACTTTGGAATGTGGACATCTCAGAAACGTCTTCCTTGTTCCTCTCAGGTGGTCAGTGTTCCCTCAAGTTCCTTAATAAAGTAAGAATCTGAATCAGGTCTTAGCCCAGTGAGGAGTCAGAGCACCCAGGAATGCTGTATGCCTTATTTTGGGAATAGACAGCCAGGTGGGCAGATATCAGAAGGACTATACACAATGTGTAACCTTATGATGTCCTTGTGCTCTGTGGGACTGCTTTAGGTCTGAACCTAACAAATAATTATAGATATATTATACATCGAAGTCTTTGTTTCTGTAATTAACTGTAACTGGCAAGAATTGCTAGTTTAGATTCCTCCATTTGTCATGTAGGCCTGTTAATGTCTAACTGCCTGTCTAATTCTTAGGAAAAATCCATTATTATAATTCATATCTTGGTCAGCTGTAAGTGCTTTTACAGAACACTAGAATTAAAAGTTATCAGCCTGAAAATATTCTTCAGTAAAGCTTTATTTCTTTCTATTTTCCCACCTTCTCTTAAGCAATGATGCCTTCTCATTGGTCTGCTTGTTAACAAACAAGATAAGGAAACCAACACGTGGAATTGAGCAATAAGTAAAAGCAGTACCTAATCCAAAACAGATATAAACTGAAATACCATTAATAGGTGGACTGGGTCCTGCATGGTAATTATTGAGCTCTTAAAGATCCAGATCCTTTAAGCATGAAAGTAAGCATTCTCTGTGGTAACCAATCTCCAAAATGGCCCCTAATGGTCTTTTTTTCTCAAACCTATGCCCTTCTGTAGTCCCCTCCCATATTAGGGGATATTGTGGAAATAAAGTGTGTGACTTCCTAGATCACAAAACTGTACAGCTTCCAACTTTGCTGTCTTTCTGGTAATTTAACCTTGGGAAAAGCTAGCTGCTTTATCATGAAGATCTTCAAATGGCCCAATGGAAGAGTCAGCATGGTGAGAAACAGTGCCCTCCTGCCAGCTGTGACCCCTTCATCCTACTCAAGCTTCCAAGTGGCTGCAGCTCTGGCTGAAGTGTTAATTGCAAATTTCTGAGAGACTCCTAAGCTACAGCCCCCAACTAAGCCAGTTTTAAACTTGCTGCTACAGAAATTATATGTGGTAATAAATATTTATTGCTTTATTTGTTCATTAGTTTATTTTTGAGACCAGGTCTCACTATCTATGTAGTCTAGGCTTGCCCTGAACTTGCAGTCCTTCTGTCTCAACCTCCCAAGTGCTGGGATTACAGACATGGGCCACTGTGCCCAATTTATTGTTGTTTTTCAAGTTGCTAAGTTTTGGAGCAATTTGTTATGCAGTAATAAATAATTATACTGGAAATGAATAATTAATATCTCCAAAATTTAACATCACAAAATTACTTTACAAAATAGTTGTATACATTTAGCTCTAATCAGCAGTCAAAAGATAGGTGACTTGCCATCTTAATACCAAATATAAGCCATTACTATTTAAAACTTTTAGTCTTTTAAAGATTATTTAATAATTTTACTTTTATAAGCTAAAAATATATTTTCGTATGGTTTTCAATTTTTGTTGTTCTTAGCAAGATATATGTTCTTCATACTTTTAATAGATATTTTTATTTTCTCTGCTGTAAATTTTCTTGCAAGTTCACCCTGGAGATTTTCTTTTTCCGTTTAGTTTCCCTCACTCCTTTCACCCTTTCCTTTCCACTGACTGCTAAAGGACAGAGAATATCAGAGACTCACTTGAAATGCAGTGTCTGTATGAAAGGAATTGCTTGCTCTTCCCTAACTTATCCTTTCTTCTCCCTCAAGAAGTATCTCTTTGCAGTGGTTATTGTAAACTTGGGCCACCTTGAGAATTCCTATAATACAGGTGTCCCCAGTCCCCGGGCCATGGGCCAGTCTGGTCTTGTGGCCTGTTAGAATGGGCTGCACATCAGAAGGAGAGCAGTGGGCAAGGGAACAAAGCGCCATCTGAATTTGTAGTGATTCAGAATCACTGGAATTGCCACCAAAGCTCCACCTCCAATCAGGTCAGCTGTGGCATTAGATTCTCCTAGAAGCACAAAGTCTACTGTGAACTGTTCATTTGAGGGATCTAGGTCCTTATTTACACTTTAAGTTTTTCACACTAGAGAAACTATTCGGTATTTACACATGTGTGTCCTATTTATTTCACTTATGATTATTGCCTCAGTGTGCATCCATTTAGCTATAAGTGTCTCTAATTTGTCATTCTTTATGACTGAGTAGAACTCCATTTTATAAAAATAACACATTTTCTTCAGTCTGAAGTTGAAGGGCAACTGGGCTGTTTCCAAGGTTTAGCTATTACAAACTGTGCTGCTATGAACATGGGTGCACATGTATCACCATGGTATGATTCTTTTAATTCTTTGGGGAAGATACCCAGCAGGGGAATAGCTGGGTCAAATAGAACCTCCAA